AAATCACCATGTTGAAGGGATACCTGCACTCACATATTCATCACAGCTCTGTGTACATCACAGCTCCAAGATATGGAACCAACCTAAATGTCCATTGGTGGATGACTGGGTAAGGAAAATGTGGCACATACACACAAGGGAATACTACTCAGCCATAAAAAGAATGAAATTCTGCCATTCACAGTAACATGTAGGATCTTGGAGAAAATTATGTTAACAGAAATAAGCCAGGCACAGAGAGAAAAATACCACAAATCGTCACTCATAGGTGGGAGCTAAGAGAGAAAGAAGGAAGGAAGGAAAGAAAGACCACAGTGGTGTGTTGGATTTGTAGAGGGAGAGAACAGGTCTAAGGTTGCTAAGGGGTCGGGGGGAGGGATAAGAGGTTGATCGGAGTTTGGGGGACGCAGGGAATAATTGCAGTTTGAGGTGGTGGACATGCTGATAGTATTGATCTGATCACCACATCTTGGGCATAGGTACTGATGGTCAGCTCTGTGCCCCATGAATATGTACAATCAATAAAAATTAAAAACATAATAAAATAAGTCTAAATTGACCTTCCAGGGAATACTCTATGAAACAGTGTGAGAGAAAAGGAGTGAAATTAAGTTTATACCTTTTTTTGTTTCTTGTCAGTGGAAATAAGATGTTCCAAAACTAAGAAAAAAAATTGTTTAGAATTAACGTTAATTCCTTATTACATGTGGTGCAATCTACCAGTTAAGACATTTAGTTTCATCTTTTCTCTGTGGAAAGATTTAGATCTCTTTAATTATTTTTACACCATTCTTTTTAACATATTGCCTCCATGAGTTGGTTTGAGCTTACCATGTACATCTTAACTTATTAGAATCAGCTACAGATTTATACTACCTTAATTCCAATAATATATAGAAACATTACCCATATATAGCAGAGTCAGAAATTTCCTGGGGTAAAAGACGTTATCTTGACACATATCTTTACGATGTCTTTATGGGAACAGAACCCAGAATTTTCCCAGCCCTAGGTATGTGCTAGTCAGGAGTGGAATGTAAGGAACCCAGATTGGTAGGAACCAGATGAGTGATAAGCAGAGACCAAAATTTGCTTTTTTCCCCCCCCCTGGATTTTGTTTCTTTGCCCTCAGAGACTCAGCAAATCAGAAATGTTCACTGGCTACCTGAACAGCCCCCATTTTAACCCCCAACATTTTCTTTTAAGATTCTTTGTAAGACTTTTGGGAGTTCAGAATTTTTCTCAGCATTACCCGTCCAACTTTTATTACTTGGCCTTGTAATTAAAGCCTAATTTCCCTCTCTGAAACCCTGGTGTTAGTGTCTTGGTTTAGCTGCACTGGGGTGAGTAAACCCAGGTTTGGTTTGGTAACATTATTATATTATACAATTTTATTTCTTTCGAAGAAACTGGGAGAAGAAAGGGTAATAAGTATATATGTAATAATTTTATTAACTTTTCAATTTATAGTTTATGATTATCTTTATTTGACTTACAGATTTCAATTATCATCTGGAGTCATTTTGGCAACCCAATACTGCTTTGCTCCCATTTACCTTTTTGCACTCTTATTGGCAACTATATTGTATTTTTATATATTACAGGAAGAACATTACATTGTATATATATATGATTTTATACAATTGATTTCTAAATCCGTTAAGAGAAGAAATGGGAAAATGTTCATTTATACTGTCCTTTATAGTTTAATATTTACCTTTATTAGTGCCCTCTGCTTTTTTGTGTGAATTTGAATACTGTCTAGGGTCCCTTGCTTCCTTCCTAAAGAAATATTTAAAAATACATTTCTTGTAAGGCAGGTCTGTCAGCAATAAATTCTGCCAGTTTTGTTAATCTGCGTATGTCTGTATTTCACTATAATTTCTGAAACATAACTTTATTTTTTCCTCTTTATGATAACATGTTCATTATGCCATTCTTATATTATTCCAAAGACTACATACTGTCATCATCAGTCTTACCAACTGTCATAATCCCCATGGTAATAATCTCTGAGCAATTTTGGTTTCATTTTATCACTCAAGCCCACTTCAATCCAGATGACTCGAATCAGGCATTTCCCTCTTTGAAGAGGAATTTCAGTGTTAGCAGAAACTTTGAGAAACCCTTTTACAGAATTCCTTGTCTAGTTTGTGGCAGAAACCAGAGAAGAAAAGGCAAACTTTTGGGCTGTCACACACACACACGTACCCCAACCTAATAAACAGATAACTAAAGATTTGATTTATAGATAGGTGGATGGATTAACATAATCTGGGAGTTTCTGGGCAAATAACTATCAGACACTGCAAGTGTAAATTGGCACAAGGATTATGGAGTCCATTTACACTATGACCCTGCTATTTTCTTCCACTATATACATAACAGCCGTTTTTCCAATTGTGTAATATAATTGTAATAAAATTGAAGATTTACAAATTAGTTTATTGGATGAGAACAAACATCTTTTAATAGATTGGAAGAGAGTGACCATATTCATTTCTTGTTTGCTTACAAATTTAAAATAGAGAAGTATTTTTTCAACTTTAATATGCATCTGTAAAAAGAAAAAAATTATACGTGGGTTTTATTACAGCAATATAAGAGCAAAGCATAATTATTAACATCATGTAATTGGCCCACATTTAAATTCCCCCATTATTCCCCCAATGTCCTAGGTTGTCAAACCAAAATTCAATAAAGAATCAGGAGCCCACATCACTGCCACGTGGATAGAGACCAGTCCTGATCCATCAGGTCCATGGTCTCCTGGTAACAGGACTCCCTGCTGGAAAAGAATTTCCTCCATTGGTTTCTAATGGAGGTAATGCAGAGTCTTATGGGGAATGTAGTTTAACCCTCCAAAGATGTCATCAGCACAGGACTATGGGAACGTTATTCCAGGTTTCTTCCATGCACGCATGTCCCCACCCACTCCCGCCATCTTTCACCTGGAATTTCTGGGCACTGCGGCCGTCCCCATGCTCCTTTTCAGATTCTGGTATTGAGTTCTGTGACCCTCAAAGGAGGGGCAAGGGTAAAAGAGGAGCCCCATGGGCCTCAGGGTACCCTGGGGAGCAGGATGAGTGTCCCAGCACTTGGTGCTGCCAAAACGCAGGTGGGTCTGAGGTGAGCCTGACCTTCAGTAAGAGCGTAGACATGGGCCAGCCAGGGAAGGGGCGACCCGGGCTGTGCTTTCAGTAACTGCTTTGTCAGAAGATGGTCCACTGCCAGAAGGCTGGGTGTGCACTTCCAGAAGCTCCATGACTGGGTTGGGGAGGTGTGTGCAGACAGCCTGAGCCTGCCTGCGAGGTGTGTCGTGAGTCCACATTCTAGCTCTGCCATACTGGAGTTTGGTACTAACCTATCTGACGTTTAGTTTACCCATCTATAATTTGAGCAAATTAACAGTATGAGTGAAGTGTCCCCAAATTCCAAGAAAAATAATTGTGAAGTGTGTGCACACTGAGTGTTCCTATGTGGCAGTTGTATTTGTGGTGTGTCTTGGTGTCCCTTCAGCTACTGAAGTTTCTGCTCCCCTCCTGCACTGTGTAGCCTGCCTAGCACTTCTGCTCTGAGTTTACAGAAGTTTCTACATGACCTAGTTTCCATAGACAGTGCCTTCTAGGGAGGAGATTGGGATACTGAGTGATGGTCTGTTTTGTTTTTGTTTTTTTGGAATAAAGCACGTCTTACAAAGTTTGAAGGAGGGTACAAAGTTTGAAGGAGGATGCCCTATGAATAGGAATCCACCCTGAAAAAACACCCCTATGGCTTGAATCCTGTCAGTAGCAATTTAGAACAGAGGCAGAAGAGTTCCAGAAAGGTCAAGGTCCTAGCTTTGCAGAGCACACGCAATTATTGATCCTAGTCCCTAGAGTGCACACTAGTTGATTGACTGATTAAGATGTTCTCATTCAATGGCTGTCTGAGACTGGGTAGTTTTGGGAGCTTTGGACCAACTTTTATAAAAGAGGTGAGTTTGACTGAGAAGAATAGGTAAGGGCCTAGGAAATGTTACTTATTGAAGAGTGGTTCTCAAAGAACAAAGTTACAACAAATTTAAAGATCTTAGTTGGCTTCATTATGATTCTGCAATCAGGCAACATGTCATTCCATAAAATAGGATAAGTTTTACAGTGAGCTGAGCAAAGGAGGTTGATTGTATAGAAAGAAAAAGGCTGGGCCGGCCCGGTGGCGCACTGCGCTTTTTGGAATAAAGCAGGTCTTACAAAGTTTGAAGGAGGATGCCCTATGAATAGGAATCCACCCTGAAAAAACACCCCTATGGCTTGAATCCTGTCAGTAGCAATTTAGAACAGAGGCAGAAGAGTTCCAGAAAGGTCAAGGTCCTAGCTTTGCACAGCGCACGCAATTATTGATCCTAGTCCCTAGAGTGCACACTAGTTGATTGACTGATTAAGATGTTCTCATTCAATGGCTGTCTGAGACTGGGTAGTATTGGGAGCTTTGGACCAACTTTCATAAAAGAGGTGAGTTTGACTGAGAAGAATAGGTAAGGGCCTAGAAAATGTTACTTATTGAAGAGTGGTTCTCAAAGAACGAAATTACAACAAATTTAAAGATCTCAGTTGGCTTCATTATGATTCTGCAATCAGGCAACGTGTCATTCCATAAAATAGGATAAGTTTTACAGTGAGCTGAGCAAAGGAGGTTGATTGTATAGAAAGAAAAAGGCTGAAGAAAGAAGAAAGAAAAAGTAGATTTTTTTTCTTTCCTTTTTAGCTAACATGCAGAGAGTTTTGGTTATAAGAATCTAGGACTAAGCCACACTGATCTCCTGTTGTTTTTTTAAAATATACTACAGATATTTATTTTATTATTTATTTATTATCTCTGTTGCTTTGAGTGAAAGCTGCCACTGGTACAGACCCAGGACAAGGGTGCAATTGAGGGTTTTCTCTCAGCACCAGGTAGTTCTCTCATTAATTCATTCCATTTTCTTTCTTTTTCAGCTGTGCGCCAGAGTACTCTGTGCATTTCCAAGAGCAACAAAAAATGAATAAATCTTACATGAGTTGTTTATTCTGTTTTATATTGTATTTGATGAGTTTTATGGTCTCCATGAATTAAAATGAAAAAGTTTAAATAAGTAAAACTCAGCTTAAAGGAAATGTGCATAAAGAAGATAAAGTTGGCCTATAGACATAGCAGGTTATAAGAACTTAGAGTCTTCTAATTTGAGTGTGAGTTTATCCCTGGTGTTTCTGATGTCATGGCAAAAAGGCAACTTCATTTGTTCCATGATTGGAATGGAATTTGAGAGGAGAGTGCTAGTTTTTCATGGGACATCAAGCCATCCTGGGCCGGCCCTGTGGCTCAGTGAGGAGAGTGCGGCACTGTAGCACCGAGGCCATGGGTTCAGATCCTATATAGGGATGGCCAGTGCACTCACTGTCTGAGCGTGCTGCAGACCACATCATGCCAAGGGTTGCGATCCCCTTACCGGTCAAAAAAAAATAAGAAAAGACATCCTGACACCAATGTCTGACAAACCATCTTCATTGGTCACATAGGTGATGTAGTGGAAAGTTTTTCGCTACCAATCTGGAAGTAAACACTTTTAGTTTTCTGCAGTGGAAACTGTTACCTAATGCTAAACTTCTTAATGAGGTCGTTCTGGAGTTTCTTATATAGTGTGCTTCCAGGCAGCTTGGGGAAGGCATTACTTTATTCATACATAAAACCTGGATTGTCTATAGGTTTGAGTTAACCACAGGTCCTTAAATAACTCTTCCAGAGACAGTGCCTTCTAGTGGGGAGATTTCTAGATTTCTTCTAGGGGGGATATTTCTCTCAGTTCATCTGGACATGCAAATTTGCAGCACATTATTCAAAGTTATAAATCTCCCCTTAGAAGCCACAGAGCATCTCAAGCACGTCACCAAGAGCAGCCAAGATTCAAAGGAGGGCAATTAGATTTCACCTATCATTAAGAGGAAAAGTAAGAATTTTCAGCAATCTTCAATAAACTGTAGTTTTCCATAAATTTCTACTACATGCAAAATATTCTTTGTCCCTCCCAATAGGCCAAGAAATATTTTTATTATGCCACTACCTGAAAACTTAATTGAGATCCTAGTGACTGTCATCTGCCCCTCCACATATACCCAGCTAACAGTGAGGAGATTGGCGTGAACATGTGGGCACATCCTTTCAGACAGGGTTGGTGGGAAGGGGGAGCACCCTGCAGACACCTGTCTGAGCAGTTAGTTATTCTCATTGGCCACCTGCTCTAGCTATTTCATTAGGGCTCAGACTTGATCCCTTGGATAGATCTTTCATGGCTTTTGTACTTTGCCATCTGGGCTCTTGCTATTCTGTCAATATCCATTTTTCTTAATTGTCTGCCTTTGCTTTTGACCAATTTCATTTGTCTATTTTGTTCTTATGTTAAGTTGGGGATTCCATGGCCTCATTTTCTTTTTAAATGTTAACTCTGGTCTTTTGATCGGAGAAATGATTTAGTGTAATCAGTGCTTTAAAAAGCATGGACTTCCTGTGTACTCCAGTTTATTAGACCAAACTTACCACACACTCTCTGAGACAGGCCTTTTGTTCTGGCTTCCCCTTTCTCCAAGGCTGCTATGGAACAAAGCCCTTAGAAGCTCTGTTGTTTGCCAGGCACTGTTTGTGTCACATCCTAGGTCCTTAGAGTGCTGAAAATATCTTTAGACATATATTTTCTTACAAAACACTGGTTTGATTCATGCCAACAGTGAAAGCACAACTGGGCTGGTGTCTAAGAAGGCTCACTGGTGGCTGGCAGTAGGTGCTGCTGGAGACTTCAGATGCCAGTCACACATCCAGGTCCCTAAGACTTCTGACCAACCAGGATTCCCACAACATCCTTCTTTCTATTTAGTCTAGATAAACTTACTAGAACAGCTTAAAGACTCAGTGAAATGTACTTATGTTTGCCAGTTTATTACGAAAGGAAAATTTGAAAAACACAAACAGCCAGATGAATACACTCACATAGGGCAAGACCTGGAAGGTCTGGGATACAGGAGCTTTCATTCCCTTGGGGTTGGCATATGCCACCCTCCTGGCACAAAATGTGGGCATATGGATTAGTTCAGCTGTCCAGGAGCACCCCCAAACCTGTGACTTTTGGTTTTTCTGGAGGCCTCACTATGTAGGCATTGTTGATTAAATCTGGCCAATGGTGCTCAACTTGATCTTCAGGACCTGTACCCTCCCCAGAGGTTGGGGGTGGGGTGAAATCCCAACTCTCTAATTACAAAGTTTCTCTGACAGCCATCCTTCATCCTGTAGTTGCACCCAGCCATCAGGCAACTCATTAGCATAGAAAAATACGTTCTTATCAGTTTGGAGAGTCTGATGATAATTTTATGAGTTGTATGCCAGGAGATGAGGACAAAGATCAAATGTATATTTTCATATTATCACATAGGTAAAATTTTGTCATTTGATATGTATTCTTTCTGATTTTTATGTGATTCTTCCATCGGTTACTGAGAGGGGAGTATTAACTCTCCAGTATGATTGTGGATTTGTCATTTTCTCATATGTGTAAGTCTTATGTTCATACAAGAATGAAGTCATCTAGTGACATATTTATCAAAATACATCCCAGTCATTCAGCAACACATGATTGTACTTTGAGGCTTGTTGTTTATAATTGTTACATCATCTTCACGTATGATCCTGTTATTATTATGAAAGTGCTCTCTTTATTTCTGGTGGTATATTTCACCCTAAGTCTCTTTTTGCTAGTATTAATACGTCCACTTAAGATTTTATACTTACTGTGTGTGTAGTGTGTCTTTTTCCATTTTTCTTTTTTAACTTTAATTCTGATTGCATCTTTGTATTTGAAGCATGTCTCTATGGATTACATACAGTTGGTTCTTACTCTGTCTAAAGTAGAATATTCACCCCAATTCTATTTATCACTATTAATATATAATCCTTAATACATTATTAATAACGTTGGATTTAAGTCTGCCATTTTGCTACTTATTTTCTCTTTGTGTCAATTGCCTTTTGGTCCATTTGCTTTTCTAACATCTTTTTGGTTACTCAAAGGTTTTTTAAATGTTTCAATTTGAACATCTATTGACTTTAAAATAATTATTAAAATTATTTTTAATTTTGGTACGAAACACGTAACATAAATTTATCATCTCAACCATTTCTTAACCTTAGTTAAGTAGTGTTAGATCTGTTGTGCAGCAGATATGCAGAACTCTTTTTTTTTTATCTTGGAAAACTGAAACTCTATACCCATTAAATGACAACTTTCAATTACCTCCTTCTACCCCCTGGCAACCACCATTCTACTTTGCGTTTGTAAAAATTTGACTTCTTTCGGTGGGGACATACAATATTTGTCATTTTTTGAATGGCTTTTTTCACTCTGTATGATTGCCTTTGTTTTTAAGGCTCACTACTATTTCTCTGCATGTAAATGCCACATTTTTTTTTTTTAGCCATTACATTGTCTATGGACATTTGGGTTGGTTCCACCTCCTGGCTAAGTGAACAATGTTGCTATGAATACAGGTGTACAAATATCTCTTTGAGATACTGCCATCAATTATGTTGGATATATATATAGTCAGATTGCTGGGTTACATGGTAATACTATTTTTAATTTTTTAAAAAGCCACTGTACTATATTTTATAATGACTGCACCATTTTACATTTCCACCAACAGTTTACAAGGGTTCCAATTTTGTCAACACTTGTCATTTTCTGTTGGGTGCAAAGTGATATCTCATATGGTTTTGATTTGCATTTCTCTAATGATTAGTTATGTTAAGCATCTTTTCATATGCTTGTTAGCCATTTGTATATCATCTTTGGAGCAATTTCTGTTCAAGTCATTTGCCCATTTTTCAGATTATTTGTTTTTTGGTTGTCGAGTTATAGGAGTGTATATATGCATTATAAGTGTTAATTCCTTATGAGATATATGACTTGTTTCGGATAATTTGTTTTTTGGTTGAGTTGTAGGAGTGTGTGCATTTTGGGTGTTAATTTCTGATGATATCTATGATTTGCAAGTGTATAATTTTGGGGGTGCTAATGTAAATAGTGTTAGGTTTTTCATTTCAAAATCCACTTGGCTGTTGCTGGAACATAGAAAGGTGATTGAATTTTGCATGTTAACTTTGTATCCTTCAATGTTGACATAGTCACTTATTAGTTTTAGTTTTTTTGTCTATCATTGAATTTTCTACATAGACTCTTATCATCTGTGAACAAAGACAATTTTATTTATTTCTCATCTATGCCTTATATTTCATGCTGTGTTATTGCATTAGCTAATATTTTCAGTACAATATTGAGAGGAGGGGTGAAAGAGTACATTCTTGCCTTGTTCCTGATTTTGTAGGAAAGCTTTGAGTTTCTCACAACTAATTATGACATTAGCTGTAATTTTTTGTAGATAGTCTTTATCAAGTTGAGGAAGTCCCCCTCTATTTTTAGTTTACTGAGAGTATCATGAATGGGTGTACTATTTTGTCAAATGCTTTTTCTGCATTTATTGCTGTAATCTTGTTATTTTTATTTTACACTGTTAATGTGATAGATTACATTAGTTGATATTTAAATGTTGAACTAGCTTTCTGTGCCTGGAATAAAACTCATACTCACTTTGTCATGTTTCATAATTCTTTATACATATTGTTGAATTAGGTTTGCCCGTGTATTTTTGAGGTGTTTTGCATTTATGCTCCTGACAGAATGGTTTATAGTTTTCTATTCTTGTAAGGTCTTTTTAAGTTTTGATATTGAAGTAATGCTGTCCTCATAGAATGATTTGGCAGTATTCCATCTATTTTATGCTCTGAAATAGATCATAAGTAATTGATAACGATTTCTTCCTTAAATATTTGGTTGGATTCACCAGCGAACACCTCCAGGCTGTGTGCTTTCTGTGTTGAATGTTATTATTTTCTTAATTCTCATAAAAGATATAGGCCTATTCAGACAGTATATTTCTTCTTGTGGGAGTTTTGGCAAATTGTTTTGTTACAGA